TTTAATAAATAATAATACATTATTTTAATGTTCAAAAGTTATAATATTTATATGAATTCTTTTGTGTGTGAACGCAAAAAAATATTGTACAAATAATATATATAGTTGTAAAAATTTCAGATGAATTTTAAAATATCTCGATACGAAATCGAGATAAACTGTTCTTTATATTTTCTTCTACTCGTTTCTCTGCACAAAATGCTTTTACGCGTGAAATCGATGCGCAACTTTACTATCGCCGCGACATACGATATTCATGGTGATGAACGTCACTCAGGATATAGGAACTAAATCTAGTGGAAGTGACCGTAACCCGTCAGGGTGTTCTCTCTCACATTGTTCGCGGACTTGCCTTCTTGATTGATGAATTTTTATGCGCCTCATCCGTTGATCCTCGCCGCTATCGCCGCGCGTGGTAAAACGAGGTGCGACATCCAAAAAAAGAGGCAAGCTAAGGGTGGAAAAAGGGCATAGTTGATGAAAGCTCGAGAAAATGCAAAAGCGAATAAGCCTTCTGGAGCATCGGCTACGCCAATTATTGTACAGTGTGCTGAATGTGTTCCTTTCGCGATGCATTATCGTCGTCTCGCACAAAGGGGAAGTTCGCCAACCCGATTTATGAATCTTTTAATATTTTGAAAATTTGATTCTGAATATGATTTCAATAAAAATTTTATAAAGCTTTAATAATTTTATAAAATATATTCTATGATAAGTATATTTTTTAGTCATCATTTGCTGAGATACATGCAATTTCGTAGGAAATTCTTTAGTTGATTTAGTTTTCAATCCAATAGAAAGAATTAGATTTAAAAGAATTGACAAATAAAAAGACAGAGCATGTCTAAAGATCAACTGCTATAATTTTTCTCTTACGGAGAAAAGACGCTATATTAATTTGCATTTCTAATGAGTATTACCCTAGAGCCATTATCCTAGAATTAATTTCTTATTACAGTGCGTGAAAAGAGCAGAATAATCAGCATCAAAGCTTTTTCCGCTAATTTCACGCAAATTTCACGCAAATTTCATTATACCTAATATTTTTTTTTCGCATACCAATTTCGCTCTTCTCTCTTTAATCGGATGTTTCCACATACAAAATAAATAAAATATTTTTGGACGGAGGAGAGAGAGAGGGATATGCATTTTGTAAAAACAAATTCCTCAAAGGGACAAATAAAAAATATTGCGCGATTCGCTGAATCGTTAGGTACACGAGTACGATAAATCGAGGTAGTTGCCAGTTTCAGCTACACAAACAGCGGATCGAACGATATATCGACTTTCCACAAAATTTTTACGAAACGTAAAACGATCAAATATTAACCCAGTTTAATCTTGTCGTCTTTTTCATTGGATTATTACCGCGCTCTTTTATTTTTAAATTAAAAAAAAAAAACTTCAAAGCCTTTGACAATGAAATTACGATAGCCGCGTGCTATTGAAGAGATTCTTTGCTATTGAAGAGACTCTTTCTCAAATATTATCCTATAAGGTGAAATTTATTTTAATTATATTAGTTTTAAAAGAAAGATATTCATTTATAGATTTTGTGAAATTTCAATTGTATATACGATATATAGTATAATTTTATATCCTTCAGTTTTAATATATTTTATTGGAATTTTAGCGTTGAATTAAATCGGAATCCTATGGATTTTATTGAGAGGGAACTTGAATTAGTTTCTGATTTTAATATTGAATATTTTAGAGGGAAATCTACATTAATTTTTTGGATGACTATGGGATAATTATTTTTTTTTTTTTAGATTTATTAGGATTATATTATTTACAAATTTATTGATTTATTCTTATTTTTCAATTTTTGTGACGTAAAGTATTTGTTAAATAATTTCAATAAACATATATATAGAATATACTTTTCTCACACTCTATTAGATGTAACTACTCACCCTCGTACACCCAGTCCGGTACTCCGTTGTAAATAGTGCCGAACACTCCCGTATTGGTTATCTGATAATCATTGGCCACTTCTGCCTCCGGTCTGTAGTAAATATTATTCTGATGAACGTAGATCAGGGCGTTGCCACGTGGCCCCCAGGTAGCGAGCTGCAACGGCGTAGATTCGTTCGCCGCCAGTATCGTCTCTGTCCTGCAAACATAATTATAACGCGCTTCGATTAATACGGTAAAAATAACCGCTTCTCACTCTAACTCACAACGTTTTTTTTTTTTTTCGTGCGTGTCAAGATGGTATAACACTCGTGTTTTCGCATTTCGCGAAAAAGAGTCACCATCTTTCCTCCCGCTTTTTCGCGTGTTTCGTATTTTGCGTTTCCCGCAGCAAATAAAAAGTTCATCAGTTAGCATCTCTTTCTTTCTCTCTCTTTCCCGAAGGATACACTCAAAGATAGATGATTATAGCGAAAACATTACGACTCTGCATAAATATGTCTGTTTTATTATTTTAACGACAAAAGTTTGGCAAAAAAAGAAAGATGCTACGAAGATAGCGGATAGTACATCACTATTTTTAATTCAAGGAAGGAAAAATTATGAAATAATACCAAGGAGCCAAGTAGGACGCGAAATAAACTTCTCATTTATTTTGTATCTCTTGATTTCGCTAATGTATACCGCTGTGACACACTTTTGGCGAAAACTTTTTTCTCGAAAAAATGATATACGAAGTATAAAGAGAAAAACACGAAAACGTGGGGAGCCTGCAATTATCTTCGAACTAATCATATTTTTTTTAAGCTCATCTTGTATAATTCATCGATTTTAATCGAATAAATCCGATTAATCATTACAAATGGGCCTATTGAAATTTGAATTTATGAAATCGAAACGGACGAAGATGAGGAGAGAGAAGATATCAGCGTATCGGAATACGTCCATCTTGTTATTGTTTAACATTCGTGACCGATCGCCGCAAACCAACAATGACGTCAGTGTGTCCCGGTTGAACAATGCCGTAACTCTGTCGGTATGATTTTAGGCATGGTCCTAGTTTGAAACTACAGGACAAGCAAGAGATGTAGTCTCGCATAACTACAACTCCTGCTATTGTTCCTGCTGGTTTCGACCAGCGAAACGTAATACGCAGGTCGCAAATTCTTCGTCAAAGGTTCGAAACTTGAACAATGGCGGGGGATTATTATCGGTCAGGGAATGATCAAATAAAACGGCGAATAACTAATTATTCTGGGTATAATTACGACTGTAATTCAGAAATGTAATTAATCTTGGAACCGGTGTGTGTGGCTGTTCCCGGAATCTGGTTAACAAGTACGTTTAAGGCAATCACGATTTTTTTTTTTTTTCAAAACTTTACACAGATATTCAGAAATGAATTAAATATATTTAAAAGAGATAGTCTCGCGATATCCTCATTTTCAATACCTATATTTTTACAATTCCCTCGTAAACCGAGTGAAACTTAATCGGGCAATTTCTATCAAGACTGAAGACCTCTGACGCTCGTCGCGATTAGATAGAAGCTGTGTACAAAGAGCTTGAGAAAAGCCGATTAAGGGAAGTTGATTTTTGCCTTCGTACCTGATAAAAATATTATCGTAGATCCCGACAATTGACGAAAAACATTGAAGCCGCTGTTTACTCAAGCGCTACAGCTGAAAATTTTATGATTATACAGTTTTGATCAATCATTATTTTACATACTTTTATTGTATATGTCATAAATTTTTACTTTTCTAAATTCCAACTAAAATAAACAAATTTATAATACTATGCATCGCATTATACACACTAAATTTAATTTAAATCGCGAAAATTTATCTTAAATCTTGGATGCGACCCTTTTAAATTTTTATGTCGGACACTATATCTTGCATCGCACAATTACGACGGTTTATTTAAGACACTCTGCAAAAAATGTGTCATTTTACACGCTCGAGCGCTATTTTCTTTCACTACTATTTAGAGTAAAAGTTTAATTCATTTAGAATAAAAGTTTTGAAGTCTCGATCAGATCCTCTCTCTTTCTCTAGATATGGCAAATTGCCAACTATCGTAGCATCCATTTCCGTATACGGAAAACTATCAGCGTCTATTTTCACGTAAGAACTGTTGGCAGATACGTTATCGAGCAAGAAACGAATAAATCGATGTTCAAGTCACTGAACCTCATGACGCTAATAGATCAATGAAATAATTGCGCGGCAAGACAATCTCTCGATAAAATATAAAAATGTATTCTTGTAATTTTTCAATTCATCGATTGTTGCAAAATCGAAAGGATTACCATATTTTTGCCCGAGTGATTGAACCAAAAAAAAAGCTTGGTCTCTTTATTAAATTCTTTATAAATCTCTTCGACAATTTAAAGTTTAAATAAACATTTATTCTGCAAAAAAACATTTTATTTCATTATGTTCCATGCTTTTTATGAAAACTCGTTTCGATAGAAACTCCAATCAACATCGATAAAAGAGTTTCGAACATTGTAAAAATGCAACTTTCATTTTACTTTGCGTAATATTTGTTTTACGCCCCACAAAAACACATGTTTTCAAATATGTTCTCTAAATACATATGCATATATATGGCCTTATGTATACATTTCAAAGAGAAGAGAAACGAAAGAGAAAAAAAGAGAGAAAGCCTCTTTTCTACAGACAACAAAATCGAAAACCGTTTGCGGAGAGCATTTTGAAATTGATTCCAAGACTGCTTCTAGATATTTAGATTTTAGATGAAATAAACAAACGTTTATTATATAACCTTATTTTGTTTCACCTACCTATCTCTGATATTTAATTTTGAAAAACTATGGACCTTTTAATGTTTTTGTTGAGAAAATAATTTTGCATGTTAAATTTTAAATTAATAAAAAATCTTATAAAGATAAGAAGCGACATAAGGCATTCCACATCTTTAAATATATAAAAATATTCCAGAATTTTTAATACGCTCAATTCACTTTTTTAAGAAAATACTTGAAGAAATTAATATAAATTAAATGTTCTCAAACCTCAGCATTTTATAACACTTTCAAAACATGGGAAGAAGAACCTCGAATTTATTAAATGCTACGGTTCATATATAATCCATGCATGCGTGTGCTTTAATATGCTGTTCCAGGATTAAGATAAATGTTTCCGGGTTCTTAAAAAAAAAAAAAAAAAATGAATCGGACCACACTGTTGCACTGATCCGTTCAATTGCTCCTACCTTGCCGTCGCATAGAAAAACGAGCTTTTTCCGGCTGGATTCGCGCAATGACCCACCCTCTCCCCCTCCTTTATCCACTGGCGTTTCATCCGCGCCAGCCGGCCGTGGAAAATCGATGAAAAGCGTACGCGCGACTTGACTGTCGTCGTGTCGTCGGCTGGATAACGTTCGTCGTCCCGCGGCAAACTTCTTCCCGAAAAGCCATAAATAAAGACGCCGGTATTCATGCGGCGTACAAACCGGGTTTATAGCCTAGGACAGGGTACGCCTGGCCTGGCCTCCCCCAGCGCGAAATATACAGCGAGCAGAAACTCACGGCTTATTTACTCTCTCTCTCTCTGTCTCTCTTTCTCTCTCCATCTCGCTCTCGTTTCCCGTTTTCGCATCTACCTCCAAAATACATACACACACGCACACATATGTCGGTGTGTATCGTCGTCCCGGCTTTTATCGCGACACCGAAAGCCAAAAACGACGGCGGATTCACCGACCTCTCCCCCCC